CGAGTTATATCAGGCTCTGTAATGCCGGTAACAGCTGATTCTCAGCTGTTACCAGTCATTAATGAATGCCTCAACATTGAGGCATTCATTAATGAAATAGTTAAGCTTTTGTAAGAGCTTCTTTCTTTCATTAATGAATGAATGAAGCCTTTACATCAGGGGTGTCCACAATTTTTTGTGTTAAGATCTACTTTTCAAATGATAGGCTACACGAGATCTACCAACGAAAAAAAACCTCCCTCGCTCTCTCTCTCCTGGCTGTCTCTCTTTGCTCTATTCCCTGGCTGTCTCTCTTTGCTCTCTTTCCTGGCTGTCTCTCCCTTCGCTCTTCCCTGGCTGTCTCTCCCCGCTCTCTTCCCTGGCTGTCTCTCCCCGCTCTCTTCCCTGGCTGTCTCTCCCCGCTCTCTTCCCTGGCTGTCTCTCCCCGCTCTCTCTCCTGGCTCACCTTGCTGTATTTTGCAAACAGTGCAGTGCAACAAGCTGTGTAAACTAATATTCTTTGATGTAATACATAGCACTTCAACCACCAGAATCTACCAGAAAGGTGTCAGGAAGCTTGGCTCAGCAGACTCAGGCTAATAGGTAATCATGTGTGCACAGCAAAATAAATATACCAAAATGGAATAAAGGGGCCGCCATTTACACCCTTCGGGATCTACCAGCATCAGCTTTGAGAGCTACTGGTAGATCACGATCTACCTAATGGGCACCCCTGCTTTACATACAAATACGGGAGCGCTAAATAGCAATCCGTATTTGACAGCTGAAGATAGCAGAGAGGTAGCAGTGACTCACCTCTCTGCTATTCCTTTTGACAGCTGTATAGCCTGGCCAATGTTTACGATACATTCCAAGCACAGAGATACAAATGTATCTCTGTACTTGAAATGTATCACTTCTGATCGTCTAGGCACGATCAAGAACCTTTAGTGAGATCTGATTCTGACATGCTGTCAGGATCAGTCTCTAAGGTTATTATTAGCTGTTCCTACGTTTGGATCAGCCTATTAATAACTAAAAATTAAAAAAAGTTTTTTTTTTACACTTCGTTTTTTTACAAAGTGTAAAAAAAGTGTAAAAAAATTAGGAAACAAAATTATATATAAATATATTTTTATACTATAATTATTATACAAAAAATTATAAAAATAATAATAATAATCAAAACTTGCTGCTGTGCATTTATGAACAGAAACTGAAAACTAGCTCAGTCATGAAGGGGTTAATGAAGTCATGAAGGGGTTAATTACTCTTATTTGCAGCTATTGATTTTTTTTGTCGGTCTGCCTAGATTACTGCAACAAGTTTCAACAACATTGTGTTTTTAACCTGTTAAGCAACAACTCCGGGCTTAAAATTCCCATAAGTGGTGATCTTTCCAGCAATATTATGGGTACAACATCAGGGAATCAGGGAAAGGCTCATTTCTTTATACAGGTGAAACTCGAAAAATTAGAATATCGTGCAAAAGTTCATTTATTTCACTAATGCAACTTAGCCGTCTGCCAGGAGATTTTGGAGCACTTCATGCTTTCTTCCGCAGACGAGCTCTATGGGGATGCTGACTTCATTTTCCAGCACCTGCCAACACTGCCAAAAATTTTCTGAGATTGTGGATTTGGGGTTTTCATGAGCTGTAAGCCATAATCATCACAATTATGACAAATCACGGCTTGAACTATCTTGCTTTGCATGTAATGAGTCTATCTCATATATTAGTTTCACCTTCGTTGCATTAGTGAAATAAATTAAGTTGCATTAGTGAAAGTTGCATTTATTTCACTAATGCAACTTAAAAGGTGAAACTAATATATGAGATAGACTCATTACATGCAAAGCAAGATAGTTCAAGCCGTGATTTGTCATAATTGTGATGATTATGGCTTACAGCTCATGAAAACCCCAAGAACCCCAAATCCACAACCTCAAAAAAGTAGATTATTACATGCAATCAATAAAACAAGGATTGTACATAGAACAATATCGGACCTCTGAAAAGTACAAGCATGCATATGTACTCAGTACTTGGTTTGGGCCCCTTTTGCAGCACTTACTGCAATTACTTTTACACGATATTCTAATTATTCGAGTTTCACCTGTATACTGTGGATGCCGTGGAGTGTATACAATTCCTGCCATGCCCACCTTCACCAGGACAATCACAGGCAATTACTTGAAAGAGATTGCTTCTTTTGCTTGACAAAGATTATTGCTCTAAATTTTCTAGAAGGGAACATATATATTTTGTAACTCAAACCCAATTGTTTGGAAAAAAAATATGTTACAGGAATCCCACGTGCACTGTGGATAAGGAAACACATCTATGTCAGTGCTATTCAACCAAGATATACGGCCTTCTGGGAACACTAGTTTCCAGTCTTGTTAAGATATTTAAGGTGTACTTCTCTGGTTATCTATTCTTTCCCTGTGCCTGAGGGTTCTTTGTTGGGATGGCAGCGTCTCCTACTGAGGTTTTAATAGACGATTATTTCCTACTTGAATTGTAATACAATTCCTGCAAATTACTTCACTCACCTTTCTGATGAAACGATGACATGAACTGTGTTGAAGGTGGAACATTGAATATTGGTGAAATCACTCTATAACATCTAGTGGTTCATACCATATGGGTTTTGTATAAATAGATGCGACTAACTACTTTTACTCCTCAAGACTTTGATAATCCTCTGCCAACAATTGTGACTTGATTTTCTGAGTGTTCATGGATTGTTTAATGTTTTTTATGTTAATTAAAGTTTTGTAAATTCTTTTAAAACTGGCTCAACTTTATTGTGGTCTGTTTTCTAATCTCAAAAAGCCCTGTCTAATTCTGTTTTGTGTATCCATTTAAATCAGGGTGAGATGAGATAAAGTTTTTTGGGGAAACCTAATATTTATATAATTCCATTGGCTCTGGGACTAATCTTAGCTAAAAGTAGTCACTAATACGTACTCCCTTCTTTAGTCTGTAACCTCCCCCCCTCTTCAAAGAGGCCCAGGAGAAATGTTTTCAGTTAATCCCATCTCTTTCTCCATGAGGAGTCTGGGTTTCAAGCTGTGTTTTTAGGTTGTGTGTTTATGAGAGGGGATTCACATACATTTGTGTGATTGTTTGTGAGTTGTTTGTTATCTTTTCATAACTCTTATTTACAGTGTAATCTTTGTTGTTACCATGTCTTGCAATCCTGTATTTATATGCATGCATGTTTCTCTTTCATTTTTACCCCTTTTGCTGTGCTTTTGTTGCATTTTTACATTCCAAAGTTTCAAAATAATAAAACAAATCATATATATAACTCACATTTTAGGTTACTTTAACAAGTATTTGTTTAAATTTTTAGAAAATTCCACAACAATCAGTTTATATTAAGAAATAAAATAGATGCAATCCGGGATGAAATTCCCACTGTCCAGTCACCTTCCCCTATTAATGTACCAGACCCACCATCACACTTGTTACTTTCCTCTTTTGACCTCGTCACCACAGAGGAGGTTACAAGGCTTCTCTCTGACATCCCCCTCACCACTTGCCCCCTGGACCCTGTTCCCTTACCACTACTCCGGTCACCCTCTTGCTCTATCCTATGCTGTATAACCCATATGTCCATTCTCTCCCTCTCCACTGGCACTAAAACCACCCTCCTAAAACTCACTAATGGCTTACTAACTGCTAAAAACAATGGCCACTACTCCTTACTCTTGCTATTAGACCTTTCTGATGCTTTTGACACAGTTGATCACCCACTGCTCCTCAAAAAACTCCACTCGCTTGGCCTACAAAACTCTGCTCTGTCATGGTTCTCCTCCTACCTATCTAAGGGCTTCTTCAGTGTCACCTACAAATCTACCTCTTCCTCTCTTCTTCCCCTCTCTGTTGGGGCCCCCATGGCTCTGTCCTTGGACCCATTCTCTTCTCTATCTACACCTCCTCCCTTGGTCAGTTGATCACCCCATATGGCTTCCAATACTATCTCTATGCTGATGACACTCAAATATACAGTATCTCTCCACTTCACAATTCACCCCCTCAGTCTCCTTGCGTATCACTAATTTACTAACTGACAAATTAGTCTGCATGTCACAACACTTCTTTCAAAAACTGAGTTCATGGCATCCCCCTCCCTTGCACCCTCCCCCAACTTTTGAATCACAATGGACAACACAGCTATTCATCCCTACCCCCATGCCAAGGTGCTAGGTGTCGTCCTTGACTTGGACCTCACCTTTCTGCCCCACATCCAATCACTATCCAAATCCTGCCGCCTTCACCTTCGTAGCATCTAGAAATACACCCCTTCCTCACCAATGAAACCACAAAGCTGCTCATCCACTCACTCTCATCTTGACTAATGCAACTCCCTCCTCATTGGCCTACCTCTACACAGGCTATCCCTGTGCTATGCTAGACTTATCTGACTAACCAACCGCTCAGTATCTGCATCCCCCCTCAATCTGGCTCTCAATCACCCAAAGGATAAAAGTCAAAATATTAACAACCACTTAGAAAGCCATCCACAACTCTGCCCCAGGTTACATCTCCAACCTTGTCTCAAAGTATCACCCTAACCGTCCTCTCCGCTCCTTCCAAGACCTCCTGCTCTCTAGCTCCCTCGTCAACTCCTCCCATGCTTGCCTCCAGGACTTCTCTAGAGTCTCTCCCATTCTTTGGAACTCCTTACCCCAACCTGTCCGTCTATATCCTACTCTGACTGCCTTTAGGCGATCACTAAAGACTCATCTCTTCAGGGAAGCCTATCCTACTTCAAACTAACCACTGAACTATCTCTTTCTCAAACAATTCATCCCCACACAGCAACCTCCTCATGTATCACTTTCCTCTCCCTCTTAGATTGAAAGCTCTCATGGACAGGGCCCTCCTTACCATTGTGTCTTCAACTGTATTGTAATTACAATGTCTTCCCTATGTTGTAAAGCACTGCACAAACTGTTGGCGCTATATAAATCCTGTATAATAATAATAATATTTTTTTAATTTTCAGCGGAAAGAGATATCAGCGTCTACTGTGGAGTGCAGACAATTACAATGAAGATAAACTTTTGCACGGTTCTCTTTTCTGGTTATTCAGAAACAGATTTATCACTTAATGGAAAACATGGAGACGCACATTGCAGAGGGTTTATAAACAACAACACATTTCCTGCAGTGGTGATTTTTACAATCAATCTGAGCACCTTAGAATCCTGTGCAAATAACCTAGTGGTAAGTTAAAACCATACTTAAAGTGATATTAAAGTCAATGGATTTTAAGCTATTTAAAATACTGATGAAATCACTTACAATGAATGCTGCTTTTAAAAAAAAAAAAAGTTTTAGTTTCCTACCGAATTAGCCGGTCCCCTGAGCACTGGTCCTGACTTCCTGTTTTAGAGTAACTCCTTTCTATGCAGTCACCCTTGTCTGTCCTAGTAAGCTGTGTGTGTCTCCACAAACACACAGACACAGCAAATCAAGCTACTGACCCTCCCCCCTGGCCACCTCTCCTCGCTCCTCCAAGCTAGTAGATGAATGTAGCTGGAGTCACCTATGTCCTTCGTGATTTTGTATATACAGGAAGTCCAGGGAAACTGAACTGAGAGGCTTGGAAGCAGCTGTTAAGAAACATGATGATTGTAAGTGTTTGGGCAAAAATATAAAGCAACACGTTTCTAGGCAATGTATATTTGTTTGATCTGGAGTCAGTATTGAAAAAACGTTTTTTTAGTTGCAAAACATTTTTATTTTTCAGTAAAGCATTGGATAAACGATGCACTAACATGAACATCGTGCGTGTGCATATACAGTAATGTAGACATTGGTATCGCTATGCAGCAGATGGCATTACAACATACATAGCATACTTATATCAATCACCTATCTTTACAATAGAAGGAGGGGAAACGGTTTTGGTGGGGATCCCCCCATTGCAGTCAGAGCAGACCAGGAGAGGAAAAGAATCAGAGGTGAAGCGTGACAGTGAAGGGGGAGGATAAAGTGGGGTGGGGGCTAGGGAGGTTTGACGCTCGGTCCAGTACACTCGCTTGTCGGCCATGTAATTAGAGAGGGGGAGAGATCATAAGGTGAGTAAGCGTGTGTCAAAGGTCGGTGGCAGGAAATGTCTTATCCAGGGCTCCCATAACTTCTGAAACTTCGGCATTTGATCATCTAGGCGTGCGGAAAGTTTCTCGTGGGAGAAGATCCAGTGTATTCTGTTTTTAGTGGCCTGAAAGGAGACTTTATTGGTAAACCAGGAGCTGGCAATAGTGAGTTTGGCGGCTGAGAGGACATGGAGCATTAATTTTAATTTAGTAAATGGGATGTGCATGGGTTTGGTGTTAAGTAATGCTGTTTGCGGCAAAGGGGGGACAGGAGTGCCCATAAGAGTTGAGATCATTTAAAAATTTTTTGACCAGAACGGCTGGAGGACAGAACATGACCACCATAAATGCATAAATGTGCCACTGGCAGGGCAACCACGGAAGCAAGTGCCCTCACAATCCAACACAAAGTGTTGAGCCTGAGAGGGGGTAATATACCAACGGAGGAGTAGTTTGTAGTTTGTCTCAAGTACTCTGGCGCTCTTAGAGCAGGAGTTGGTGGAGGTCCATATCTGGGACCAGGTGTCTTCGGGGAGCACGAGGTCCAGGTCTTTCTGCCAGCGGTCCATATATGGATGATGTGTGGTTGAGGTGGGTTGCAAGGCTGTGATATATAGTTGTGAAATAACACCGGGTGAGTGGGGGTCTTTTTTACAAATTGTTTCAAATGGGGACATAGACTGTAAGTTCCCATTTTGGTTGCTAGTGGCCTGTATAAAGCTTTTTATTTGTAAGTAACGAAAGAGCTCTGAGGATGGGATTGAGTGTTGTGATTGTATATTCGGGAAAGGTAATATGCTGTATGTATTATAAAAAGAGTAAAAGTCTGTAACGCCCTTTTCTTTCCACTTATGAAAAGCTGCAGGGGAGTCAAGTGCCGGGGGGAAGGCTGGGTGGTGTAAGAAGGAGAGCATGGGTAGGTGGGGTGAAAGGAGCCCACTGGAGTATTTAGAGGCATCCCAAATGCGGAGCGAATGACATGTGATGGTGTTCGAGATTCCTTTTCTGTGTTTAGGATGCATCCACAGGAGATTGTCAATAGTGTATGGATCGCAGTCCATGGCTTCGATCGAGACCCATAGTGGTGTTTCGGTGGACACGTGGTATTTAGCTATAGCAGCTAATTGGGCTGCATAGTAATATTTATGGAGGTGTGGTACGCCTAGGCCACCAGAGCGTCTACTTTGGTACATAGAGTTCGCCGGTATCCTAGGTTTTTTATGTGACCAGATGAAGGAGAGGAGTAGTCTCTGTATGACTCTGAGCTGGTGGAGGGGAATTGGAGCGGGTAAAACCCGGAATGGGTAAAGAAGTTTTGGCAATAGGGTCATCTTAATAGCTGCAATTCTACCTAGCCACGAGAGGGGGTAGGTGTGCCAAATTTTGAGAAGGTTCCTAAGTTAAGTGAGCAATGGGGGGTAGTTAGCTGAGTATAAGGAAGAGTGAGAGGAGGTCAGTTGGATGCCCAGGTATTTAAATGAAGATGGCTCCCAGTGAAATGGGTAGCTTGTTTTAAGCTGATTTACCAGTTGTAAGGACCGGGGAACAAGGGGGGGGGGGGTAATTGGCGTAGTATAGGGAGGAGTGAGACAGGGTCAAATGGATGCCCAGATATTTCAGGGATGTGGTTTCCCAATGGAACGGATAGTTAGATTTCAATAAATCAAGTGTATGTGGTGGTAGTGTTATGTTGAGGGCCTTAGATTTAGAGGTGTTAAGGTGTAGTCCTGAAAGGTTGCTGAAGGAGTTTAGAAGGCTTAGGGAGTTGGGGAGGGAAATATGGGGGTTTTGGATAGGAAGAGTAAGATATCATCCGCGAAGAGGCACAGTGTATGATGGTGTCCTGCTAGTGGGATGCCTGTGATATCAGGGTGATTTCTGATTAGTTGTGCAAGGGGTTCTATAGCCAATGCAAATAACAGTGGCGACAGAGGGCAGACCTGTCTGGTGCCTCTGAGGGTGGGAAAGGGGGCGGATCTATGACCAGCATACCTTACCGATGCCGTAGGGTTAGAGTATAAGGCTGTGATCCCAGAACAGAATTTCGGCCCAAAACCCCATTTATTAAGTATATAGAGCAGATATTGCCATGAATGGGAATCGAACGTCTTTTGCATGTCCAGTGATAACAGCATAAACGGAATGCCACGACTATTCGCTTTTTCATTTAGAAGACAGGCTCTGCATACATTGTCACCGGCTTGGCGCCGTGGATGAAACCAACCTGATCTTTATGGATAAGGGTGGTAATGATTAAATTGAGCCTTGTTGCCAGTACTTTGGCCAGTAGTTTAACATCAATGTTTAGGAGAGATATTGGCCTAAAGTTGGCCCAGTGGGTTCCGTCTGAGTCTGGTTTTGGAATCATGCAAATTGTGGCTGCGAGGGATTCTGTTCTAAATTTGGATCCATTACGGACATCGTTAAAGGCTGCCGTCAATAGAGGCGCTAATATTTCTGAATATTTTTTGTAAAAGGTGGCGGTAAAGCCGCCAGGGCCAGGTCTCTTATGTAACTTAAAGGTTTTTATGGCGGCTATTACTTCCTGGTCAGTTATGGGGGTATCTAGTGTTATGCGAATATGTTCTGGCATTTCTGGCATTGACACCTCAGAGAACAGTGCTGAAGCTGCTGCGGGGTCAAACGTAGTGGTGGAGTTATAAAGTGTAGTAAGGTGTTTGGAGAATTCGTGGACAATCTTGTGAGGGTTACTGGACAGGGAATTATCTGAGAGGCGAAGGTGGAGGGGTTTTTGGTGCTGGTCTATTTTGCGCAATCGTCTAGCAAGAAGAGTGGATTGTTTGTTACTTTGGAGGTAGAATTTGTGTTGGGTTCTACGTAGGCTTTTGTCAGCAAAGCTGGCGAGCAGGAGATTAAGATCCCTTCTGGCTTTTTCTGCTAGGGATTTATTGAAGGGTGTTGGACGCATACTAAAGGATCTAGAAGCTTCCTTGAATTTTGCCTCTAGATTCAGTGAAAGGGAAATTTTCTGTTTTTATATAGTGGAAGCCAATTGTATACAAGTGCCTCGCAGGACTGGTTTATGCGCTTCCCATAGTGTGGTGGGGGAGACTTCTGGAGTTTTGTTATGCAGAATATAGTCTTGTAGTGCTTTTTCAATGGTTAGTAGCGTGTTACTGTCTGTAAGGAGGGAATCATTCAGGGTCCAGGAGCGATCAGTATGCTGAGACCAGAGGGAGGACAGTGATAGGGTCACTCCATGGTGGTCAGTCCAGGAGAACGGGATAATGCTGGAGTTGACCGCTGTAGGAAGAGTGGGGTGCATTACAAAACGTGCATTGAAAAAACATTTAAGCGTTTAATACTTCTTTAATATGAAAACCTTATTCTGAATTGGTTGCCCTACAGTTTTGCCGTAGGCAGCTGAGTGAACGACCGACCTGAAGCGAAGTGAGCTGAACGTATATCGGCTGAAATCAGCCGTACATCGCGTGGCTTCGCGTGGCTACTGGTCGGCCGAACATGCTCAGCAAGTTCGGCCAACCCGAAGTGCAGAAGGAGTTCGACTCAGCCGATCCAACATCTGGATCGGCTAAGCCGAACCTCCGGCAGGCTACTCGCTGCTGTTCGGTCTATTCTTATAGATGACGAACAGCAGTGAGTGAATAGCCGAATGCCACTGAGCGGCATTCGGCTCGGCTGTTCTGCTCGGTCCCTCTTTGGGACCAAGCAGAACAGAAAATTTGTGTAAAAAGTTTTAAAAAAATAAATAGAAAACGATTGTGCGGAGCTAGCAGATGTTTTCTATTGGCCGGGCTGTTCTGCTGCCGTCAAAAAAAATAAAAAATTAGCCATAGGAATGCATTGCTAGATTCCTATTGGCTATTTCAATTTGCAATAGCCAATAGCAAACTAGCTATTGCACCCACCCTCTGCTGCTGTCAGTCACTAGATGGGACCGGATGGAGAACTGCAGGTCCCCTCTGCTCTCTTGACAGCAGCAGTGGGCGGGTGCAATAGCTAGTTTGCTATTGGCTATTGCAAATTGAAATAGCCAATAGGAATCTAGCAATGCATTCCTATGGTGAAAATTCCCGGAGACTCCCAGAGTGCCCGGGAGAGTTTGCTGGCTGGAGATCAGTGTCCCTGGTTACCTGGTAACCA